CATCCCCCCTTCCCCACCATCACTTCCCCTCTCCTCTCAACAAAAATCTGTTTATGTCTTCCCTATTTTGATCAATCTTTTTTGAAACTTAAATGTTTGTCAAAACAGCACATCATAAGAATTGAACCCAGTTTCAGTGATCACATCATTTTTACACGTCAAATGTCCCGTTTTCAGAAAGATTTTGGTCTGTTTTCTGTTCATTTTAGGGCATGACTGGACCAAAGGGAGAGCAAGGACCACCCGTAAGTTCTTTTAGTTACATAAACTGTTGTCCTCACTATTATCTCCATAAAAATAATTTTTCAACATCCATGGTTTCATACTTTATCTCAAAGGTGTCAGTGCAGTCAGTGCAGTCAGTTCTCAAAGCTTATTGTAGTTTACAGCAAGCAGGAAAAGGGCAATTTATGAGGATTGAGTTAAAGAAGAGGATATTGACCTAATTAGTGAAACTTTGAAAGTGAACAGTGAAAGTGTTGACTCATTTAGTGAAACTTTGAAAGTGAACAGTGAAAGTGTTGACTCATTTAGTGAAACTTTGAAAGTGAACAGTGAAAGTGTTGACTCATTTAGTGAAACTTTGAAAGTGAACAGTGAAAGTGTTGACTCATTTAGTGAAACTTTGAAAGTGAACAGTGAAAGTGTTGACTCATTTAGTGAAACTTTGAAAGTGAACAGTGAAAGTGTTGACTCATTCAGTGAAACTTTTCAAGTCAAGAGGAAAAGTCTTAACTCACTTAATGAAATCTTAAAGGGGAATAGGGAAAGTTTTTACTGTCTTAATGAAACCTTTAAAGTCAACAGGAAAAGTGTTTACTTTACTCACTTAATAAACTTTTGAAGTAAAGAGGGAAAGTGTTAACTCACTCAATGAAACTTCTAAAGGAAACAGGGAAAGTGCTACTTTTAGTGAAGTTCCTATCTGCCAAACACTCCCAATCTCCAACCTCCAACCTCTGACCTCAACAAACATGTCATCCCCTCTTCCTCCTCTCCCCTCCCCTCCCCTCCTCTCCCCTCCCCTCCCATCCCCTCCCTCCCTCCCCTCCCTCCCCTCCCCAGGGATCTGCCGGACCCCCCGGACCCCCAGGAGAGGTTCTCGGCGTACAGCCACGCACCATCAGCCAGGCCCGGCCTCAGAACGACTCGGCCCGGAGGAGGAGAAGGAGGAGAAGGAGAAGGAGGAGGAGGTCTGTCGAGCCCGCCGATATTGATGACGATCTGGACAGTGTCAGGAGCAAGCTTCTCGCCAAGCAGGAGAACGGAATTGAGGTTCAGGTGTGTATTCTATAAATAGACGTAGCTTCAAGCAGGAGAACGGAATTGAGGTTCAGGTGTGTATTCTATAAATAGACATTGCTTCTATCAAGAGAACGGAATTGAGGTTCAGGGGTGTATTCTAAATACAGAAGTAGCTTCTATCAGGAGAAAGGTATTGAGGTTCAGGTGTGTATGCTATAAATAGACATTGCTTCAAGCAGGAGAAAGATATTGAGGTTCAGGGGGATATTGTGTTAATATATGTTAATATAAATAATAGTAGCTTCAATTCAGTATTTGTTTGCCTTTGAGGGGACAGGGGATGTGTATTTATTGCTACTTCTTAAAACATTTTGAAGCTCTAGCAAGTTAACAGTCCTATCACTCACTCTCTCTCCCTCTCCCTTTCTCTCTCTCTCTCTCTCTCTCTCTCTCTCTCTCTCTCTCTCTCTCTCTCTTTTTTTTTTTTCTCTCTCTTTCTCTAATGCCATCTCTCTGTTCATACAAATAAATAAACAGACAGTGAGATAGAAAGACAGATAGACAGAAAAGCAAATAGACAGTTAAACAGTGTGAGAGAGAGAGAGAGAGAGAGAGAGAGAGAGAGAGAGAGAGAGAGAGAGAGAAAGACAGATACTCAGACAGACAGCTTAATAAACAGACAGAAAAGAAGACAGACAGTTAGACAGTGAGATATATATATAGAGAGAGAGAGAGACAAAAAGACAGATACACAGACAGACAGACAGCCAAATAAACATTCGGACAAGAAGACAGACAGTTAAGACAGTGAGATATATATAGAGACAAAAAGACAGACACAGACGGACGGACAGCTGAATAGAAAGACAAAAGAATATATCAATTCTGTTATGTGCGGCTCCAGGTCGGAGAGGTCATCCAAGAGGTGTCCACCGTCATGCTCAACCACATCGACGCCCTCAAGAAGGAGGTGGACAACATCCGCTACCCCGAGGGCAAGAGAGAGAACCCCGCCATCTCCTGCCGCGAGATCAAGCTTGGACATCCTTCTTACAAGACAGGTAATGTCCGTGCGGTCACTGACTGCCAGTATAGGGTCCCAGTGGTCACTGGCTGCCAGTCCATGGTCACAGTGGTCACTGCCAGTACATGGTCCCAGTGGTCACTGACTGTCAGTACATGGTCCTAGTGGTCACTGACTGCCAGTACATGGTCCCAATGGTCACTGCCAGTACATGGTCCTAGTGGTCACTGACTGCCAGTACATGGTCCCAGTGGTCACTGACTGCCAGTACATGGTCCCAGTGGTCACTGGCTGTATGTGGTCCCAGTGGTCACTGGTTGTATGTGGTCCCAGTGGTCACTGGCTGTATGTGGTCCCAGTGGTCACTGGTTGTATGTGGTCCCAGTGGTCACTGGCTGTATGTGGTCCCAGTGGTCACTGGCTGTATGTGGTCCCAGTGGTCACTGGTTGTATGTGGTCCCAGTGGTCACTGGCTGTATGTGGTCCCAGTGGTCA